GGAGTAACTAAAAATCATTAGAAATAAGTTCCTTTGACTTCTAAAGCGTGTTCCTTAACTCATTCAAGAACAGTTCAGCACATCAAATTTCCAACAATGCCCTGACTGTGCTCCTTCTATCTGCTAGGACTCCACAGTGGGTCCTATGCCTAGTGCTTGAACCTCCTCCCCCCAATCAAGTAACCCTATGCAAAATACATGTCTCTTTAGTCCTGGCTTATTTGTAAGAAGGGTCTGAGTTCTAATGGTGTCTAAGCCCCCAGGTTCTGTGGTACAAGTTAACCACAGTCTCCATCTGTGACCACAAAAACATACTACAAGCAGCACTAAGAATTCACAGATAATCTGAATTCTTGTTAAAGTTATAATATTTTTGATAATATTGTTTTAGCCACTATGAGACATCTGTGAAAGCTAGAATTCACCAAAAATGTAGATCAGTGCGATATCACCAATGTGTAGCCTCAGATGTCTTGGTATATAAGCCTACAGGGAGGGTAGAAAAGCTACCACAACAAAAAGGTAGAAACAAAGGAAAAAGCACTCCATCAGCATGACACCAGTCTGATACAACAGAAAGACTAACTGTTCTCTAAGAAGATATAACAAGAATATGCAATCAACATCACTCTGATACTACCTCTGACCAACACAAAACAAATTCTAATTTGAAGTGCAAGAATTAATTTGGGAGAGGCAGCAGTGGAAAGCCAAGCTGTTTATAAAACAAAACTCCTGGGCTTGGCATGATGGTACAATGGGTGAAAGTTTCTGCTGTGCCACATAAGCACTGGTTCAAGCCCTGGTTGTCCCACTTCTGACTCAGCTCCCTGCTAATGGTCTGGAATAGCAGTGGAGTACTTGGACCTCTGCAACAAATGGCAGACCAAGATGATCCTGCAACCCATGTGGCCTGCATCCAGTCCAGCCCCAACCATGGGGACCATCAACCAGAGGATGAAAGTTCTCTGCCTCTCCCTCTAATTCTATCTTTCAAGTAAGTAAATCAAAAAAAGACTATCAACAGGAAGCCTTGTTGTTGCAGCACTGGCTCAAAGAGATGCACAACTGTTTTTAAACAGTACTGCTCTAAATTTTTGTGTAGAAAATAGCAGTTTAATTTGAAAGATGCTAAGAATTCTGAGAAGTGCTGCAAATCATATTTCTGGGCAGGGCTTGCAAGTTCTACAAATCGTCACAAATGGTCAAAGGCCTTTTATTTCCTCTTAAAGCTTCCTCAAAGGTATTAGGATCGGTGCCACAGCTCAACAAGTTAATCTTCCACTTGCAAGCACTGGCATATGGATGTCGATTTGTGTGCTGGCTGCTCCACATTAAAAAAATTATTATTGGGCCCGGCGCGGTGGCGCAAGTGGTTAAAGGTCCTCGCCTTGCACGCCCGGGATCCCATATGGGCGCCGGTTCTAATCCCGGCAGCCCCGCTTCCCTTCCAGCTCCCTGCCTGTGGCCTGGGAAAGCAGTCGAGGACGGCCCAAAGCTTTGGGAACCTGCACCCGCGTGGGAGACCTGGAAGAGGCTCCTGGCTTCGGATCGGCATAGCATCGGCCCGTTGCGCTCACTTGGGGAGTGAATCATCAGACGGAAGATCTTCCTCTCTCTCTCTCCTCTCTGTATATCCGCCTTTCCAATGAAAAAAATAATAAAAATAAATCTTTAAAAAAAAAATTATTATTATTTTTTGGAAAGGCAGAAATAGAGAGAAGGACATACAGAGAGAAAGCACCTCCAACTGCTGTTTCACTCCCCAAGTGGATGCAACAGCCAGAGTCAGGCCAATCTGAAACCAGGAGCCAGGACCCTCCTAGAGGTCTCCCACATGGGTTTAGGGGCCCAAGGCTTTGGGGCATCCTACACCACTTTCCCATGCCACAAACAGGAAGCTGGATGGGAAGCAGAGCAACTGGGACACAAAACTGGTACCCACGTGGGATCCTGGCAGATGTGAGGTGAGGATCTAGCAACTAGGCTACCACGCTGGATCCTGCTCCATTTTTAATCCAGTTCCTTGCTAATGGCCTGGGAAAGAAGTGGAGGAATACCCACGTTCTTGGGCCCCTACAGTTGCATGGGAGATTCAGAAGTTCCTGGCCCCTGGTTTTGGATCAGCTCAGCTCCAGCTGCTGTGGCCACTTGGGGGACTAAAGAATGATTTGTTTTAAATCCAAAAGATGAACTTTCTGACATTAAGGGGCTCTGTCTTGCTATATAAACCCCTACCATCCCCACCTCCCACTTCCTCTTCAAAACAATTTTTTTTAACATTCATTTATTTTACTTGAAAATCGTTAGACTTACAGGAAGAAGGAGACAGTGATCTTCCATTCATTAGTTTACTCCCCAAATGGCAACTTTGGCCAGAACGAGGCAAGCCTGAAGCTGGGAGCCAGAAGCTTCTTCTGGGTGTCCCACATGGATACAGGGGTCCAAGGACGTGGGCCATCCTTCAATGCTTACCCAGGCCATTAGCGGGGGCTGGATTGGAAGTGAAGCAGTCAGGACACAAACCAATGCCCATTTGAGATGTGGATGCTACAGGTGCAGGCTTAGCCCGCTATACCACCACACCAACCCCTTTTCAAAACAATTTCTATCAAGAAAGATACAATCTCCTTTGTGACTGGAAATCTTTTGAGATTTCAGCCTCAGAACTCAGGGACAGTGTGTCAGTAGTTTTAAAATTCCTAAAGCTTAACAATTCCAATACATTTTGATGAACAAAAGATTTGCAAAATCTACCAATACAAATTAAATGATACAAAATTTGTCTGCCATCACTTGCCCTGCAATCTCTGTTGTCAGGAAGGACTGACTGCCAAAGATTTCTCCTCAGGGGCACGCTGTGCACCTCCGTCCCGGTAGCACCTAGCTCCCTGCTGCAACTGAAATGCACAGAGCAGCCTTACATGACCAGAAAGCCTTTTCCCCACTCCTCCAAAGCCTGAGCAGCCATGACTATGAAGGCCCGAGCTTCCTGTACCCAAATGCCACAGCACAACATGAGTCGTAACTTCAAACCTCGGTGTGCAAAAGTACACTGAATCCAGACAACCACTCTTTTCAAAACAGTTCATTTAATCTACTTTCCCAACAAAACTACAACAGTACCATCAGTGGCTTCTTATCCCATGCCTCAGACGGGAACAAAATCTGGACAGAAACGCGACAGGACTTTGGCCAGCATGAACGGAGGGCAGTGTTCAGGCGCAGAGACAACGTGGCTCAAGCTGCACCATGGCAAGAAACAAGACACGCTGCATCAACTGGAGCATCAGGGGGCCCTCCAAGCTCTAGCCAGAACACTGGGGCCCATTCTGTGCTCAGCGTGTAGTTCCTGCATTCAGTGTTCCAGCACACAGCGCAAGGCAGAGACTGGGCCCACAGCTCGTGCGCAGGCTCACTGTCACACAGTGACTGTGACGCTGGGTCAGTGTCTTGGGGACTCAGACTTTCCTTGCAAAAACCACCTGTGGCAGCCTTCCAACTGAGTTCCCCACAACAGCCCAAAAAACTCCAGGAACTGATCCTCAGGAACTGTTTATAGGAATGATCAAACAGCAGTGTGGGTATCACTCGCACACACTCACACACACACATGAATGCTGTGCTGTTCAAAGATGACACAGGAAATCACACACTTATCTTAAAAATGTACAAAAGTTTAGACATTTGTCTGGAATTGCTTTGGAATCAACAATTCATTCTGAACATACAGCTGTGGAATTCAGCTATTTCTAATTTCAACTTGAGCTCTGTTCACCTCTTCAAGTTGAAGCAGCTCAAATGAAAACACTTGCTTATGTACACAGAGGACTTCCGTGACCTCCGCAGGTGACTTCTTAAGGGAACACCATTTCTTCACGTATCTATGCTTGCTGGGGGCGGGAGGCCTTAGGCCTGTATCGGATGAGCTCCTATTTAGAGGTGAGTCAGCCTTCACATCTGTCTCTCCAAGAGCACAGCCACCTTTGTGGTTGCTCTCCATTACTGGACCGGAAAGGCTCTAAGGGAGGCTTGCGGACCCTTGTTCTGACAGGAAGTGCCCAGAAAGCCTACAGCTGCCACACTGCCCTCACATACAGAGGCAGCCTCTCAATGCCACTGTGGATATCAGGGTCCCATGACTACACTTCCATTCCCTGTCTCTCACTGAATGACATGTGTACACAGTAGATGACCTGGCAATACACAGGACCCGTTACAGGCGCTAAAAATTATTTTACAGCACACCCTGTAAACGTGATTAAAGTTACACAATCAGTTACATGAAGGAAAATACAGCCAACTTTTCATGTGCATTATGTCTTCATGCAAGAGATAATAAAAGGCCTATCATCAAACTTAAGATAATGAAACCAGTTTATCAGTTCCAAGGGCTTGTGTGATTAAAAGAATATTCTTCCAATATCTAAGTGCCACTCTGACTAGCAGACACACAGCTTGGTGGGCTTCCCAACACTGCCTGTTCCTCACAGCCATCCCAATCCACCTGAAACTTCACTGCCAAGGAGAGGAGAAACAAATTATTCTTATCCCCTCTGGAGTTTCCTTCCCCTTAGGCTCCATTTTTTTTTTTTTTCCAATTTTTCTTTGTGGACCAAGTTAGAGCAGCAAGGGTAACAGAGTGCTCAAAGAGCCCCTGGGTCCAAGCAATCTCCATGAAAAGGCTTTTCTTCAGTCTGAATATTTATTTATTTTGTAACAAATGGAGCCCTTTGGGGGAAAAGTGCTTTGGGTCCCATCATTGACATTTCAGAATAAGAATGTTCCTGATCTAGCCCCCTTAGATTTAAGACTCACCTGCCTATTTTCTTCAAAGTCCAAAGAAAATGGGGATGGGAGATGGGAGTCCCAGAGGGACCTCAGAGCAAACAGACATGAACGAGGGCCTGCACTGCTCTGTCTAGCCATGTGCCTCTTTCTGCTCATATCCTTGTGGCTTGTACGGAAAAAAAGTTACATACAACTCATAGGAAACTCACCTTGAGAATTTTTACAACCACTCGTTCATTGTTGGTGATGTTAATGGCCTCAAACACTTCACTATATTTTCCTCGACCAAGTTTTCGAACCAGTTGGTAATCATCTTGATTACTGCAAGAGGCAAGAGACACACATCAATGCCAAGATTTGGGACAAACCAAGACACCCCATTCACCACTTCCATTCATCAAGCACTTCCAAGTGCATCCACACAACGCTGCAACTCCTTCCCTCGATTAAAACCTACCCACCATCAACTTGGCTTCTGCCACTCCGCAGAGCTCCTAAACCTAACTGGTCCCCTAGAACACGGGAGGCGGAAATGGGGGGTAGGGTATGAAAGCAAGGCTCTGAGTATTCCCTGTCCCACCATGCTGTGGGTCCACCGCACCTGCCTCCTATTTCCCACCCCTGAAGGTAGGCTAGCGCCTGCTTGGAGAATCTGGACATCATCTCAAAAATCTCCTCCCACCCAGCCTCAAGTCAGCAAACTCAAAAGGCAGAGAATTTTAATAGCTCAAGAGGACAGCTGTTGACTTCCCACCCCAAAAGAAACCCCGAAGGTGTGAGGAGGTGGCCCGGCTGCTGCCTGCCTTCCTTCGGGCTCTGGAGCCTACACCGATTTCCGCCCTCCCCCTCCCCAAAAAAGGAGGGGAGCACAAGGTGGGGAAAAATGAACGACCCGGGGTAGGGGGTTGGAGGGAGGGATAAGGGAAGAGGAAGACGAGGACATGTGCGAGATGGGGGCCTCTGTCGTCCAACCCAGAACCGGCGAGCGGCCGGCTGGAGGCAGATCACCCGGGCTGAGTGCGGTTTGAGCCGGGGGGCTGCCGGGCGGGGGTGGGGGCGAAGGGAGCCAAAAGGGTGGGTGGGGGCGGCGGTGGATTTACCCCCAGCTCGGGACGTGAGCCTCGTAGTCCCAGTACTCTCGGCGGCTCAGGCTGTTCACCTCGGAGTAGACCCGGGCCCTGCTGACCGCGGCCGGGCCGGGCATGGCGGGCGGGACCGGGGGGCGCCGCAGGGCGCAGAGGGCGGCGGCGGCGGCGCGGCCGGGGGCGCGGGGCGGCGGGCGAAGGAGGCGGCGGGCCGCGGGGCGCCGGAGGAGGAGGAGGAGCGCGGCGGCGGGCGGCCGCGCCAGGCCGGGCCCGCGGGGGCGGGCGAGCGGGGCGGGCTGGGGGCTCGGGGGGCGCCGGCCGAGCCGGCCCGGCCCTGGAGAGCGGCCGGCGGGGCGGGCAGCGCTCGCGCTCTGCGGCGGCCTCCGCTCGCCTCGCGGCACCCAGGCGGCGACAGCTGCGGCGGCGGTGGCCCCGGCAGCGGCAGCCACCGGCTGGGAAAGGGGCAGCGAAGAAGAAGGAGGAGGAGGAGGAGGAGAAGGCGGAGGAAACCCGGAAAAGGGGCCGCGCTCTTTAGGAGCGGCCGCCGCCCAGCCCGGGGCCGCCCTGGCTCACAGCGCCCCCTGCAGCGTGGGGGGACCCGCGGGGCGGTACCAGCCCCTCCCCCGGCCCGCCCCCGGCCCGCCCCCAGCCCAGCCCGCCGGTCCAGGTCTCCCCATCCTGGGCCTGGCCATCTGCCGTCCTTGAGCCTTTGACTGTCTCCAAGACCTTCATTTCTGGTCACCCAAGAACTCCCTCATACACGGTTCTGACACCCATTTAGCCGGTCGTTCCTATTAAGTTCTTCCCCTGTGATGTGCTCATAAGTCTGAAACCTCCCCAAACTCGAGATTTAACCCTCCTTGTTTTTCTTCCTTTCTTGCTTCCCCCGGACGCTGTTTTGTCACTTGACTTAAGGGACCTCATTTTCCTGTCACCCAGAACCTTCCCCACAAAACCCCTCGCGTATGCCTTTTCCCACATTGTGGTCCAAGGACTTCCCTGAGTGTCCACTTTGGTCACGTGGCTAATCTGACCGGCCTGTTTTGTCATGTGGCCCTCTAATCCTGAGCTCTGCTGTCTCTTGAATCTTCTGATCCTTTTTTTCTGTTTTAAAGATTCATTTGTTTTTATTGGAAAGGAAGGTCAGACTTACAGAGAGGAGAGACAGAAAGATCTTCCATCTGCTGGTTTATCTTGCAAAAGACCACAAGTGTTAGAGCTGAGCTAATCTGATGCCAGGAGCCAGAAGCTTCTTCCTTCAGGAAGGGGCCATCGTCTATTGCTTTTCCAGGCCACACGCAGGGAGCTGGATGGGAAGTGGAGCACTCGGGACACATTTAGCTCCCATATGGATTTAGCATCCCCATCATACCAGGCCCTTTTCTTAACCTTTCTTCTGTCTGGCTCCTCCTTCCCCACCCCTCGCAGCAGCACCTTTTCACCCATCCCAGGTTGTTCTGGCTCCCATCTATCCTTTTTCACACTCTGTTTTCTGTATAACAGTCCTGGTACAGGGGGTCTGTGATGGAGATTACCCTGCCACCTGCCATGCTGGCCTCCGGTATGAGCATCGGTTGGAGTCCTGGCTGCTCTTGGCTGGGATGATGGAATTTCTGTCTCCTGGCTTTAGCTGGGCCCAGCCCCAGCTGTTGCAGCCATTTGGAGGAGTGAATCAGTAAATGGAAGACTCTGTCTCTCTTCCTGTAACTCTGCTTTTCAAATAAATAAATCTTTCAGGAAAAAAAAAAAAGACCTGGTGTTGGTGTGCAGAGGATTAAATCACCATCTGCAACACTGGCCTCCCGTTTTGTACCAGTTTGAGTCTCAGTTGCTCCCTGCTAATGGCAGTGGAAGGTGGCCCAAGTACTTGAGACACTGCAACCCACATGGGAAACCCAGATTGAGTTCCAGGCTCTTAGTGTCTCCTAGCTCAGCTCCGATCTTTATGACCATTTGGAGAGTGAACCAGTGCATGAAAGATTTCTCCCTCCACCCTCCTCTGTCTTTCCCTGTAACTCGGCCTTTCAAACATCTTTTTTTCAAGAAAAAAAATCCTTGATACAGCTAAAAACACACATGACAAAGTCGGATCTATTCAAATTCTGGGCCCTGGGTTTTACAGAGACCTAATGAAGTGAAGTGTATGATCCTGGATCAGATTCTGGGTTTTATAAGAAAAAAAAAAAAAGGGTGAAAAGGAGAGAAAGAAGAGGAAGGAAGAAGAAACCACAGAGATAAAAAGGATACTATTGGGAAAACAAATATAGAAAGTCTACAATGTAATAAAATTGTATAAATGTTACATTCTCTGAGTGTCAGCATCGCAAGTACTTGACAAAACAAGGACATAAGCTCCTTGCCCACGTGACTGAAAGCAGATCCACTCCCACAATGGTCTTCCTCACCCCTGCATTCTTTCTTAAACTAGTCAGACCCTGCCTCAGCCCCAACCTGACATCCTTTCTCTCCCAAGGACCCTCAGCAGCCCTTTGTCATATTGGGCTCGATGCATGTTCATCCTGTGTGTACGCTGGTACTGGGATCCCCTGGGGTTAACTCCCTTGAATATATCTGTTCTGGCTGTGAGTTCATGCCTCCCCTCCTCTTTGTCCAGTACCTCTTCCCAACAGGGTTATGCTGGAGAACAGCTTGATGTTAGGAGTTTAGAGATGGATCATTTTGGAAGTATACTATCTGCAGCGTAAGTCAACTAGCTCTCCAGAAACACATGGGTCCCACACAGCCAAGTGCACATGGTAGGGGCTGGACCCCATGGTGGTGGCTCAGGGGAGAAGCTGACAGTAAACATGACTGAAAAGTCTGTGGAAAGATTTCAAAATAAAAACAGGGAGGGGACCCGGCACGGTAGCCTAGAGGCTAAAGTCCTCACCTTGCAAGTGCTGGGATCCCATATGGGCGCCAGTTCGTGTCCCGGCAGCCCTGCTTCACATCCAGCTCCCAGCTTGTGGCCTGGGAAAGCAGTTGAGGACGGCTCAAAGCCTTTGGTTCCTGTACCTGCATGGGAGACTGGAAAGAAACTCCTGGCTCCTGGCTTCGGTTTGGCTCAGTTCTGGCCATTTAGGTCACTTGAGGAGTGAATCATCGGATGGAAGATCTTCCTCTCTGTAGCTCCTCCTCTCTGTATATGTGACTTTCCAATAAAAAATAAATACATCTTTTAAAAAATGATAGCTTGGCTGCAAAAAATTTGAAATGCATCCATATTTAAAAAAAAAAAAAAGGAAAGGAAAAGAAAACCTGGGAGAAGGGCGACGCATTGGTTCAGCTGGCTATTGCTCCAACTCCAAGCATCAGCATGCCACATGGTCACCAGTTCAAGTCCAAGCTGCTCCACTTCCCATCCAGCTCCCTGCTTGCAGCCTAGGAAAGCACTAGAGGATGGCCCAAAGCTTTGGGACCCTGCAACCGTATGACAGACCTGGAAGAGCTCCTGGTTTTGAATTGGCTCAGCTCCCACTGTAGCGGCCATTTGGGGAGTGAACCAGTAAATAAAAGATCTTTCTCTCTTGTCTCTCTCCTTCTCTTTGTAAATCTAATATGTCTTTCCAATTAAAAAGAAAAGCAATAACATTTTTTTAAGTATGTAGAGGGCCTGGCGTAGTAGCCTGGAAGTCAAAGTCCTCACCTTGTACATGTCAGGATCTCATATGGATGCCGGTTCTAATCCCAGTGCCCTCACTTTCTTTCTGTTTTTATTTATTTATTTATTTATTTTTATTGCAAGTCAGATACACAGAGAGGAAGAGAGACAGAGAGGAAGATCTTCCATCTGATGATTCACTCCCCAGGCGGCTGCAATGGCTGTAGCTGAGCCAATCCGAAGCCAGGAGCCAGGAGCCCAGAGCTGTTACAGGTCTCCAACATGGGTGCAGGGTCCCAAAGCTTTGGGCCGTCCTCGACTGCTTTCCCAGGCCACACGCAGGGAGCTGGATTGGAAGCAGTTCTGCTGGGATTAGAACCGACATCCATATGGCAACCCAGGCGTGCAAGGCAAGGACTAACGACTATGCTATCACGCCGGACCTGGCCCTCACTTTCCATCCAGCTCCTTCTCTCTGTATATCTGACTTTCTAATAAAAGTAAAATCTTTAAAAAAATGTATGTGGAAAAATCTCAAAGCAAAAACTGTGAAAAAATAAGTAAAGTGTTTGTGGAAGAAGTAGGCATTAGGATTCAGTTTCCTAAAACTGCAAACTTCCCTAAATGTCTCTCACACAGCTCTTCTAAGAGCACAGTGTAGCTTTAGCTTTATAGCTTCCTACTGATAAGTCTCTGCAGATCAGTGTGAGTATCATATCATATCATATCACTTATTTCACTTGAAAATCAAAGTTGCAACAAGAGAGAGAGCGTCGGGTGCAGAAAGATCTCCCATCTGCTGGTTCGCTCCTCAAATAGTCACTATGGTCAGGACTGGGCAGATCTGAAGCTAGGAACCAGGAACATCTTCCAGGCCTCCCACATGAGAACAGAGGCCGAGGCCATTGGGTCATCCTCTCCTGGTTTCCCAGGTCATTAGCTGAGAGCTGAATTAGAAGTGGAGCAGCTGGGACTTGAACCAGTGTGCATATGGGATGCCAGTACACCACAGTGCAAACCCCCAGGGTCAAATATTTTTAATCCTATCCCCTTGGTTGACCTCCCTAGGTTCTTTTTTTTTTAAAGATTTATTTTTATTATTTTTTCATTTGAAAGGCGGATATACAGAGAGGAGAGACAGAGAGAAAGATCTTCCGTCCGATGATTCACTCCCCAAGTGAGCGCAACGGGCCGATACTATGCCGATCCGAAGCCAGGAGCCTCTTCCGGGTCTCCCACGCGGGTGCAGGTTCCCAAAGCTTTGGGCTGTCCTCGACTGCTTTCCCAGGCCACAGGCAGGGAGCTGGAAGGGAAGCGGGGCTGCCGGGATTAGAACCGGCGCCCATATGGGATCCCGGGCGTGCTAGGCGAGGACCTTTAACCACTTGCGCCACCGCTCCGGGCCCATCCCTAGGTTCTTAGAACTGCAACACTGGATACGTGTGAGGATCAGTGTATGTGTGTGTATGCATTCTTTCTTTACTATACATCAGATTCTCAAAAGTGACCGTGACCCAAAAATTCCAAATGGTAGATGCGACTGTGATGTCTACTGCCAACTGGGGCTCCATTCCTGTCCTCCACCCTTACCCACCTCTGACCCCACCCATCCTCCCTGCACTTCCTCTCATTCCTCACCACCTAATCCACACCCAGCTCATGTAACCGGCTCCCACACCTGTGGTGTGCCTGAGGAGTCATTCACCCACACAACACTCTGGTGCAACACACACTCTCGTATTTGGCTGACAGCTCTCTCACTCAGCCAGCCCTGAAATCTGCAGTCAGTCCTCCCCCAGCCAAGTGCAATATGTTTTGATAGTTGGCAGGGTTGGGCACCCCACA